TCCACAAGTGCCAAGTACATGCCGAACGGATACACCGAGAAGCCAACAACCTTCACCCCATTATTACACCATGGCCTTTCCACACTTGGGGGGTAGATTTGATAGGCAAAATACACCCACCTTCCTGGGGATATTGCTTCATTATAGTAGCCACAAATTATTTCACAAAGTGGGCGGAGGCTATACCACTAAGGAGAATTTGTGTAGAGAATAGTGCAAACTTTTTATGGTAGCACATAATCCACTAGTTTGGGGTCCTGATGAGGATTCCAATGGACAATGGGTTATCAATAAAGAATCAGAAAGTCTGGGACCTGTTGGGACAGTATGGGGCAAGATTTGGCACATCCACAACCTATTACCCATAAGGGAATGGGAAAACAGAGGTGACCAATAAGACCGTGTTGAAAATGTTGAGGAAGATGGTGGCAGAGAAGTAAAAGGATTGGGCAAAAAAGTTGTCCGAAACACTTTGTGCTTATCGCACAACAATAAAAAAAAAGTATACAGGCAACACTCCGTTCTTTGGTTTATGGCCAGGAAGTAGTTTTACCGGCGGAGATACAGACAGTGTTTGCCTGAGTAGCCTATGTAATGGGAAAACACATCTAGACAGATGAGATGAACCAAAAGCTCAATGATAGACTAGAATGCATAGAGGAGGCTAGAGAAAAATCACTACAAAAATAGATTAAATACAAACAACTCATGGCTTCTAACTTTAATAAACTAGTGAAGTCTAGAAAATTCAAAGAGAGCGACAAGGTACTGAATAGGACACTTCATATCAAACAAGGTAAATCAGCTGGCAAGTTTGCACCTTACTGGGTCGAGCACTACATCATTCAAGAAGCACACCCAATAGGATATTATGTACTAAAAAATGTAGCTACAAATGAATAAGATGAATAACTAATGTGCACCGGTTGAAGCTATGTAACGATTAACAATGTAAACCCTGTTAAGCTTGAACATAGATTCCTGAAGAGAGCATGTCACACATTGTACGCATCATCAAAGCATGTTTATATATATCATCAGTAAAGCTTGTTATATTACTTTTGTACATTCCATTAATCTGAAGTAAATAATATTATGTACCTTTCATCAATCTTGAATAAATTGATCAGATTTCTCTTTCACAACTATGTTTGTTATTCATATTACTAAATATATCCTAGTCCGCCAGGAAGGCCCTATTCTGACAAGTGCGATGACATATACCTTGGTTCTCCAAGAAGGCCCTATTCTGTTAGGTGCGATGACATATACCCTGGTTTTCTTGAAAGGCCCTATTCTGGTAGGTTCGATGACATATTCCCTAGTCCGCCAAGAAGGCCCTGGCAACCCCAGGTGCGACGACAAATCCCAATACTGAACTTTCTAAGAAGCGATGAATTACACTAATAACATCAAATACGATGACAAAGACAAACACTGAACTCCTAAGAGGCTCATATGCCCTAGAATCCCTGGGAAGGCCTTGGAAATACTAGGCACAATGACAAAGTCCTAACACTTATCAATCTGAACTGCGAGGAATTACCCTGGCAAATCCAAGAAGGCCTTGGCAAAACCAGGTGCGATGATAAATTCTGACACTTTGTTTTCTCAAATATAATAACATGCCCTAGAAAACCCAAGAAGACCTTGGAAACCCAAGGACCATAGCAAACAATATATGCAGCAACAATAGATGTAGCAACGAACCTTAGTACTTAACTTGATCAAGTTGTAGCAACACCAAGTGCGGCAATGAAAGTTAGCACTTAGCATTCTAAGATGTGATGAGGCGATCAGTCCACCCCACAACGGTCTAAAAAGAGATGACACATGCGATGAAACATTCTGTAGTAGGTATAAGATTGCATGCCCAGGACGAGATGGTAACGACCTGACTACAGTAAGCATGACTATAACGACGACAGACAATTTACACACTGCAAATGAGGGGCATAATCTCAGGCAGTAACAAAGTGGCGATCTGCTATTGTTATGTAACAATGTTCATATACCTTGGGTACAGTCACCCACCTAAAGATCGAAATCACTTTGCATCGCACAAACAGTATGCATTCTGTTCATTGCAAAGCGACACCTTTCAATCTTACATACAAGACGAATTGGTAAGCCCTACTGCTACGCAATGGGAGCCCAGACTACTGAAAAATACATTCGGTCTAATGGGCTTATTAACACCGTGCTCAACCCAATGAGCCTACTAGCACTACGTTCAACCTAATGAACCCACCAGCATTACTTTTAACCTTATATTTCGCACAAAGGCAGAACCTCATTAACCAAAGAGGGATACAATCGCCAAAGATTCAAAAACAAAAGCGATAGTGAACAACATTCAGAAAATATGAACAAAATTTCCTTTTCATTAAGAGTGTCAATCTTCTTTACATTACATATGAGTACAACAAAAATTTCATTCCCTATACCACTTGTCCCTTATGCAGGTAATCTCCTCCAAACTTTACCACTGTAATTGGATTTCTGTAATCTCCTTATCTCCTGCCTCATATGCTATACTATTTTCGTGGGCACACTCGTCAAACATAGCATTCAACTTTTCCTTGGCCTTCATAGGATTTGCTTGGACAACCCTAAGGCATTGGCGGAGCTCATCAGAAGCTTTCGCAGTTAGAGGCTTGGACTCCTAGTAGCTGGCCTTCCAAAAAATGTGTGCCAAAAGAACCACCCTCTCTTCAATCTGATCCATCTTGAAACCCAAGGAGGAAAACAATGCACAAGTCCTCATCTAATGGGCAAAACTAAACCATGAAAGTTCATCTCTTGATTGGTCCATAATACAATTCATCACCGCCGCTATAGTGTTCAATGACACACCCATGACCCCTGGTGGGACGTTACCAAATCAAAAATAGAGTTCGAAATGACATACTTTTCATGGTTGCGAAGACCCTGAATGGTGACCGAATTGAAAATAGAGTAACCTAGAGGCACGAGCTCATGCTTTTCACAGTAATTTTGAGCTCTTGACACACCAATGTGAGTTCCTGCACATACGACCTAGGCTCATATGGCGACGAAGTCTCAACGTCCACAGGATCGGGTTCAGGCTAAGTCTTTGAACGTACATTTGGATCCGCTGAAGCCTTGTAATGTTGGGATTGCACCACTGCTACCTCTTGATAGACGCATGGCCCATACAAATATCACGCAACCTGAACCTTCGGCGTATGGTTGGAAGATCTACATCAACAGATAGTTGTTTAGTCAGTTCTTTTTGTTGCATAAGAGTCGGTCAAAGAAGTTAGCTTGCTAGTCTATTGCCATAAGAATCGGTCAGTCTGTTAGTCTGCTGCATAAGAATAGGTCAATTTGTTAAAGAGGTTAGCTTGTTAGACTATGGCATAAGAATCTGTCAGTTCGTTAGAAGGGATAATCCCATAATTAGGGGCTAGTTTAGTGGTAATTAGTTAAGTTCTTGTATTTAAACACCAACAACCAGCTGAAATGGTGTTGGAAATTAAATAAAAATCTTGTGGGTTTCATTCTCACCCTATGCAGAATACTCTTTCAACTCTAGCTTTAACTAGGACCTATCATTGGTATCAGAGCTAGGCACAATGGCTACTAACAAGGAGAGAATTGAGAGCTTAGAGGCTAGACTTGGAGGACTCCAAGACAGCTTTAGTCGTATGGAGGTGGGCGTAGCTGATAAGTTTCATTAGTTGGAAGATGCCATCAACAAATTATCGGAAGCCCTACTCTCCAACCGAGCTGCATCGACCAACAACAGCTTCGAGCTTAAGGCAAACTCTCCTATGGGATGTTCTCGCAACGTGAGAGAAGAATCTCGAGACAACTCCGAAGTCGGACGACAGGTGTTCTCTTTCAAATTAGCCAAGTTGGAGTTTCCTCGGTTTGCCAGAGATGACCCCACCGAATGGTTCACAAGAGTGGACCCATTTTTTGAATATCAAGGCACCCTTGAATCTCACAAGGTGTCCTTGGCCTCTTTCCATTTGGAAGGAAAGGCTAACCAATGGTGGCAATGGTTACACAGATCCTATAAGAAAGAAGGAAAGGAGGTGACATGGGAGATGTTTCAGGAGGAACTTTGGGCAAGATTTGGTTCTACCGATTGTGAGGATTTTGACAAAGCATTGTCAAAAATCCAACAAGTAGGCTCCTTACGTGACTATCAAAAAGAGTTCGAGCGGCTGGGCAACCAGGTACACGGTTGGACGCAAAAAGCCTTAGTCGGGACGTTCATGGGAGGCCACAAACCAGACATAGCTGACGACATCCGGATGTTCAAACCAAGGTCGCTGAAAGAATCTATCAGCCTTGCATGGATGCGAGACGAGCAACTAAACCGTCAAGAGAATGCTACATGTCCATTCAATAGGACCACTATCGACTCTTCTCCAACGAAACTGAAGTCTGCTTCACCAATGAAACGACTCACTTGGACGGAGATGCAAAGGAGGCGTGCTCAAGGCCTTTGTTTTAATTGCGATGAGAAATTTGTACCAGGGCACAAATGCAAAGGACCACAGTTGTTGTTGCTTGAAGGAAATTATGACGAAAGTGACACAGATGACAAAGAGGGAGCTCACACCAACCTTCGACGAGCTAGAGAACAAATACATCAAATTGGACTTTGAGGACAAGGTCCCTCTGAAAGACAGGGGGCAATGATAGATGCATGGCCCATACAAATATCACGTAACCTGAACCTTCGGCGTATGGTTGAATGATCTACATCAGCAGATAGTTGTTTAGTCAGTTCTTTTTGTTGCATAAGAGTCGGTCAAGGAAGTTAGCTTGCTAGCCCATTGCCATAAGAATCGGTCAGTCTGTTAAGAGAGTTAGTCTGTTAGTCTGCTGCATAAGAATAGGTCAATTTGTTAAAGAGGTTAGCTTGTTAGACTATGGATAGGAATCTGTCAGTTAGTTAGTAGGGATAATCCCATAATTAGGGGCTAGTTTAGTGGTAATTAGTTAAGTTCTTCTTGTATTTAAACTCCAACAACCAGCTGAAATGGTGTTGGAAATTAAATAAAAATCTTGTGGGTTTCATTCTCACCCTAAGCAGAATACTCTTTCAACTCTATCTTTGACTGGGACCTATCACCTCTGCACAGGATTCGGGCTCTTCCTCGCGCTGAGATCCCAACATCGAATCCCCACGAGGCTGCTCAGGCACTACAACAATAGCCATCTTCTCAAGCTCCTTCCCATAGTCCGCAACAGAGAGCCTCTGCTCATGCCTTGACTTGCTTATTGGACTAGAAGGGGGGCTGCTCCGATGTAGAGGGTTCAAACCTATGAGCTGCCTCAGCCTCACCCATCACACCCTTGGGGGGATGTTCTTGCATAGGTACAGAGGATTCTTGTTCTCACCTAGGCTCGCCAGGCACAAACTCGTAGGCAGCAACATCCTTGTCAGCGCATGCTTGAACACCCGCATCCTCTGGGTAAAGAGACAGGCGCTCAGATGAGTTCTGCTCCTTGATAAGGGGCTGCAAAGACTTATGATCTTCCACCAAGCACCTAATCACAAGCGCCATTGAGACATCCGCCAAGTTCACATCACAGAATCCTTGCGACAAGGCAAAAGGATGCGATTAAAGCAAAACAATAGAATACATTAAGGAAGCAAATAAGCAATTGAACTACACATACCTTTTCACCCACAACACCCTCAGAAGGGACTTGTGGGTTTTTAGCTTCCGGGCGAGCCTCACTAACATCGACCTACTTTAACACAAATGACTGCAATAGTAAATTTAGTACACAATAGCAGATGGCACAACAAATTCAAACATAAACCGAACAAGAATTATATAAGCTTACCAATCCAAAGCTTTTTGACTCCTTCCACCGAGGACGGGGAGCCATCTTTTTCAGTTGCCCACCGACGATGGGAATAGTAACCACTATGGTAGGAGGAACCGAGATGGTTGATTGCACCGATTCCGTATCTGCTCCCCCCCGACCTCAGAAGGAGGAACTGTAGGATCCTGTACAACTTCCTCAAAACATTCTTGCGGATCATTTTCAACTGGTCGTTCCTCTACTCGGGTACCGAGACGTTAGAAAAATACTCTGATTCATCAATTGGCCCCAGAATTGATGGCCAAAAAAATCAGGGCACCCTCGAAGTCCTACGCTTCTTCTGAGGAGCATGACGACTTCTCCCCTTACTCCTTCTCCTTCATCAGCAAGGCGCTTACCCTTGCGATCAATGCCCAGCATCGACTGCTCCTTGGCAGCAACTCAAATCACCGGAGGGGCATCGGTTTGAGAATTGGTCCCCTCCCCCTCCTGCTCCACCACTTGGCTCGGTGGTGGGGCCAGAACATGACGAGGGCGGGGATTAGCAACCATAAACAGTTGCATCCCGCCAAACAGTGAACAAACATAATATAAGTGTAGAGATCTACACACCTCAACCCTAGGGAATGCTAATTCATTCTAATAGCTCTAGAATCCATCCTTACACGAAGACCTTAAGAACTATGATCCCATACCATCATAACCGAATTGCCAGAGAAGCAATGAAGACGGTAAGCTGTCACTTGCACCTCGCCGGCCCGATCAAGATATGAAATGACCCCAGGGCCACACGAGCATGTGGGTGAGTGGCATCGACAACACACTGTTGGTCACCGTCCTTAGGAACATCGGCAACGATACAGAACGACAACACACTGTGTCCACGACTATGACAAACTCAACAAATGGACATCCAAACTTCTTTTAAGAACGAGGCGCCATTGCTGAGTAGAAAAGGTCTAAAGGAATTGAAAGGTAAGAGAAATTGGGAGGGGAGATCAAAGGGGCACAACAAGCACGAATAAGCTGAGAATAGAAATGTAGAAGAAAGCAAAAGGCCTCGGGGGCATTTCCCCTCTTATGAAACCTTACACAAATCTGGAGGGCCAAATGACATTGTGGAAGATTGTAGGAAATGATTACCAGCCTCCTGCCATCTCTCAGCCGAAAAAAAGGCCCACGAAAATTATGAAACTACCCCTAGAAAAAGCAGAACAATCGGTAGATCAATTTAAAAGGACTACTGCCATGTCAGAGGTCACCACTTCGCAAAAATTAACGCCTAACCCCGAGCTAGACACCCTTCTAATAGCGCATTAATGCGAGTCAACAGTTATGCGACTAACATGATGAAAACCACATCACACGCATAACGGTCAATCCCACCGCATCCAAACAACACAATAATGCAAAAAAACCCCTACGAATTCCTGTAGAGGCGGAATAGCAACGAACTAGGCATGCCCACCAACACAAAAGTGGGTTTAAAAGCCTTGCCCAGGCCACAAAATTTCCAAACATATTTCATGATAGAAAACACTCTACCAAAGACGGGGCTGGAAATCAAAGCCACTACATCAATTCTCTTTGGCAAAGCATTTCCTATCGCGAAATAAAGGGACTAAAAATCAAAATTACTCACACAAACTACCATGGCAATAAAGTACTTGACAATAACAGGGGGGCTGGAATTCAAATCGTTAGCCAACAACTGATGCAAGTGCTTATAGTTAAGTTCTCTCCACACCCATCACACCATCACGGACTTCCGAAACAAACCCCACTAATGCAAGTGCTTATCGATAAGATCCCTCTTACCAATAAGGAGGGGGGGACTAATGTTGATACATGATGATCACTATAACCGTAAAAGCATGGAGAGTGCTAAACCAATAACATAGAGACAATCATGATGAGTCCAGGATTTGGCAACTACCCGCGATGAGTTCTGAGCCCACACATACTTGCGATGAACTTAGATCCCAAGGTGAGCTCGCAGTGAGCTCAAGGTTGCCACAAGCCTGCAACAGACTCGAAGAAAGTAGCCTTATCACCTTACTCACACTTCCCTATCCCCATTTCTGTATCTTCCCCACCTCTGTTCTCTAGCCAAAGAAAGTAGCTCGCAGCGGTGATATTGATTTGGTCGCCAATCGGACTTTGGTGGCTCATTACCATCTTCCAGGGCATATCTCACTCTAGAGTTCCTCATCGGCCTTCTTCACCAATGTGGAATCCTCAAACACAGTGGTATCCCCCTATTCTTCACTGACATGACGAGGTTATTAGCAACAATGGTTTGGGTTTTCTCTTCCTTGGTCACATTGAACAACCCTTTCGATTTAGATCAATCTTTCTCCGTTTCTTGACGGAGACCGTTGGTGTGGAGTTGGTTGTGATAGCCCAAAAATAGGGAATGAAAAGGAAAATATTAAAATAACTAAAAAAGATAAAATGTAGTGATGAAGGAAGATTTGGCCCGATCTCGCAATCACGCCACGTGGCAAAAAATAAATAGCTCGACACTTAAACCAGCGTACCCAGGGCACAAACACCAAAGGGAAGAAACCAGTAGTCCGAACTCCCCTCGAGGAGACCGAACTCCCTTCGAGGAGCCCGAACTCCCTACGAGGAGCCCGACCTCCCTACTAAGAGTTCGAACTCCCTACTAAGAGCTCGAACTCCCTACGAGGAGCCCGAACTCTCCCTTAGGCCCCGAGCCACACAAAGCAGTGACCCGAACTGGCCCGCCTCATGGCAGTTCGGGACACTCCCCTATCCGAACTCAAAATCGCCTCGCACACTGCTCCAGCACTTCGCCTCCAGAACGCCGAACTAGACAAACCACACCTTACCTGACACCGAAGGAGTCCGTATCCAGGGGCGGCGCACCTGACTGACTTGGGATCTGACACTCGACAGCCGCACTTCAACGGCCACCTGCTACCGTCACCTGCCACCGCCATCTCCAGTTACAGAGACGGCTCCGACAAAAAGAGCAGTGGCGGTTCTTCCCCAGCAGAGGTGATGACACCCGAACTGGCAGAAGCACGGAAGTAATCATACCCGACCTGACAGAAGCCTAGGAGTGAGTGTGCGAGGTGCACGAGGTGATTCTAACTTGAGCTTCGGAGCCTTTACACCGGGTTCCCCCCGGAACTTCCTCATCTTCTCCATTCTAGGTTCCCTACAACTCGGTTCAGAGGCAAGGTCGTTGACAGGTAAGATCGGCCGGATTGCGCACCATCATGTAGAATTAAAGAGAATATGGAATAAGTCGAAAGTAAACCATTCTTATACAAGGGGGTTTGTCCGGAGAAGGTCAAGTTAAGCCAATCATAAAAGATAAAATAAAATAAAACAAAAGAAAATTCAATAAAATAAATAAAATAATAAGCAAATTGGGGAAAGATAAATGGCTAGTTTGATAGACCTGGCCATATCTAGATGGTAGGGGAGAATAAACAATAAAAAAGGGGGAAAAATAATGAAATAAAAAATATAATACAAAGTAACAAAAAAATGAAAACGTAAAAGAAAAACAAAACATAAAAAGAACTAGGGAAACAATAACATCAATAGTGTCCCATAAGAAAATGGCAATATATAATTTGTAAAATTTAATTCCAAAAAAAGTCGAAAAAGAAATAATAAAAAAATGATAATATTAATAAAATCCAAGTTTACCCTCCACCTCCCTCCTCTTTCTCTCTCTCCCCTTCTTTTTCCCATTGGGTTCAGGCACAGAGTAACGGGACATGAAAATCAGCTCATGCTGAAAGGAGGAGGGGATTCTAGCCGAAAATGGACGGTTTGGTATTGTTGAAGCTATCCGAAGTTCCTTTGAAACATCAAAATAAACAAAGTTAGTTGGGGATTCTAGCCGATAATGGGCGGTTTGGTATTTCAGCTCACCTGAAATCAATAACATTGCCGCACCAAATAAAGAAATTGAAAAAATAGAGCTGGTGGGTCGCATGGAGTCTGGATGTCAATTCAGTTCAAATGGATCCAGATCGAGAATCCTTTCATCGGCCTCACTCTCGAGCAACTTCTTTATCGGAGTCTGGGCGTTTATCACCTTTTTTTTTATGAAAATTAGGAGAGATTTTCTTGTTCAACACTCAAGGGATAAAAGACAGATTGCCTTGAAGATCCATTAGTTATGGCCTCACTTGCTGGTTCCTACCAGCCTGTCGACCCTTGGGTTGTTCGTATTTCTTCTCAGAGCTCAAGATTTGTGAAGTGGTAGATTCACGGTGTTGTTGGTATTTCTTCTCAAAGCTCGAGATTTTGTGAAGTGGCAAATTTCCGACATTGCTGCTACCAAAGTTCCATGCTAGTAGCACCGAAATGATCAATACACGATCCAATGTCTAAATTCAAGCTTCTTTCCCTTCCTACTACCACCTTCATTGTCTTATCCTTCGGATTCACAATGATCATCAATACAGTCCTCTAATATAAGTTGCAGCTCTGGTTCTCAAGCTTTCCTAAACAACTGTGTAAAACTATGCCAATGATGCCTCATGCATCTTCTTTTGTAGCAGCGCTAGTGGTCGTGCCCCAACTCAGCCAATGCTATTTAAGTTCAGCCTCAAGGGTACTGCTGATGTTGGTGCCAACACTAGTGTTAGGACTTGATTTTTGCTTGGTCCATTACCTGAACCTCTGATTGACCTCAAATTCCCGATTGGGCCCATTCAACCTCTCCGAAACACCTAAAAACCCAACTTTCAGCCCAAAATCCCTCAGATCCATTGTTAAACCTATCTGATACCAATCCGATGGTCCCGATCGACCCCCATTTACATATAAACCACTAGATTCGACACCACCATCAGACCCAAAACCTCCCAAAATACCTATCCATAAAATTTGAGCTCAAAATTCCTTTATTTATCCCTTTATCAAGTAAAGATTCTATTCCGATGCCTCTCATTTGCTTAAACACTACCCAAATTCCCTTGATCTTAACACATCCAAACCGATCAAACCACACCATTAAACTCCAAATGCATCAAAACACTTGTCCATGAAGTTTCAACCCCAAATTCCCTTATTGGCCCTTCTACCAAACCAAGATTTCGTTCTAGAACATCTCATTGACCCAAATTCCTATGATCTTGACTACCAAGACTAATCAGACATCACCATTAGATACCGAACAACTCCAAATACTCACATGTGAAATTTGACCCAAAACTGCCTTTGTTTGTCACTCTATCACATATAAATTCTGTTTCGATACTCCAGATTAATCGAATCGAGTCCTTTCCCGATCTGCCAAATTCGGGACCAATTGGTCCAATCCAACCCTACCAATAAACTTAGAATATCCAAAATCCTCACCTGCCAAATTTTAGTAAAAAAATACACTCATTTACCCATTCATTTAAAAAGGTTCCGTTTCAACCAATCTCATTAGCCCCATACACACAAAACCCTTCTCTGCACTTAGACGCAGCTTAACCCTCTGATATTTGACCCAAAAAATCCCCACCATTGAACCAAAAACGTGGCTTGACTTCTCTAGACTTGGTTTGACCAAATTTTTTCATAATTACCAAAATACCTCTAGATTTTCCTAAATTTACAAAATTGCCCCTTAACCCTAATATCAATTTTAACGTAAACTTTTCAATTCATGCTAATTCACTATTCACTCTCTTCCTTCGACACACAGCAGCGGAGCGGCGGAAATCTCTCTCCACCTTCGGCCTTTCCTTGCTCCCTCTCTCTCAGTTTTCTTCTTCTTCTTTTCCTTCTCCTTCTTCTTCTCAGATCCACCGAAAAGGAATACACTATTCATCTTCTCCCTCCCTTCGACATAGAGCGGTGGCAGCAAGAAAGAGGTCGATCTCTCTCTCTCTCTCTCTCTTTTCCTTCTTTTTGTTTTCTCTTCTTTTCTCTTCTTCCCTAGTTCATTCATTGTTATTCTTCTTTGTAAAAGGAGCACTGGTCATCGGCGGCATCCCCATCTTCTACCAGATTTGGTGGAGGTCTGACGTTCAGCATTGCCTATCATCCCTCCACCGTTATCTGATGGTTTCCTTTTTTGTCTCTCGATCCGGGCATTTAGTGGAAGATCGATATCTCCCATGTTCCACGAGCCTCATTTCGAGTCCAAAAAACCTCAGAAGTCACTGCTAGTTCACCCACACTAGGAAGGAGTTGCTCGACCTCTGTAATCTCCCATCATCACCTACAAGGCACACCAAACTCATCTGAATCTCTCCCGTTCACAACATCAAATTGCCGGCTGGTACATCATTTAGAACGGTTAGATATGTCAGGATGAATGTTGTTAACGGCAATGGACACTCGTTCAATTCTGTTCTTGACTTTGCTGGTTATGCTTTCTTGATTTTACTGATTATGGATTCAGATGTAAGCTTATTTGGTGTTACTTCTATGCGTGTTTTCTTTCTTTTCTTATGGGTTTATCGGTTGGGTAGTAGAAGTTTGTACTATTAACTGTGCTGGAAATGTGTTCAACATGAGTTCCACAATTGTTTTGTTATGTCTGTTACCTTGGATGTAAGATCCTGGACTTGTTGGTTCCCCCATTGCCGAATGGATTGTAATAACCTAAAAGTAAAAAGAAAATAAAAGAAATAATTATTGATAAAAAAAATAAAAGAAATAATTAATAATGGATTATGGTAAAGATTGATGCTAAGGGATAAGTAGCGGGTGAAATGGGTAAATTAATCTACTAGGCTTGGATATATTTCGATGACATAGAGGGAATAAATTGTTGAAAGAAAAACAATAGTAAAAGAATAATAATAAAAAAGAGAAAAATGGGAAAATAGGTTTCCATAATAAAATAAAAATAAGAGATAAATAAAAAATGATAATTAAAAAAAAATAATAATAATAATAAAATAGAAATGAAAAAATTGGTGAATAAAAGTTAGCTCTTCTTCTATCTTGATTTATTCTTAGGTTTGCTTTCTTTATTGTTTAACTATATATTTTGGTACCTATGCTTGTTTAAGATATCATGAAGGCCCCACCTATCGGACCTGGAAGAGAAGTGCCTAATCCCTTCCCTCTCCCATCCAAGTCTTACCTGGACTGATTAGTTAAATCCTTGGGCTATTGGAGTCACCATTAAAACGAAGCAGTTTTTGAAAATCATTCTCGGAGGTCTCTTCACCTCCATTTTTGTAATTGATGGGTGGTGACTCCATTTCCAGCCCAAGTAAGCCATTTTCCTAACGCTTACAGACTGGTGATCATGTTATTAGAGAATCCCAGAGAGTCAAACATTGAGATAGGTGATCAACACCAACATTCAACAAGCACAACATTGCCATTGAGCGTAGTTCCCACTCGTGAAGATAAAGCCAAGTTAAAGCAAGATCTGGAGAAATTAAAGCATATTTAGTCCTTTCATGAGCTGAATTTCAGTGAGTTGTGCTTATACCCAAGGTTGGAGATTCCAAAAGGTGTTAAAATCCTAGAGTTTGATAAGTATGATAGGTAAGAAGACTAGCATGGTTCACATTGTTGAGGTAGATAAGAAGACTTGGACTCAGGTGGCCACAACTTTTCTGGAACAGTTTGATTACAACAGAGACTTGGCTCCGACAAGAGCAGTAGAAGGCATGCGAAAAGCACCCAAGGGAAGTTTTGATGATTACGCATACTGATGGAGATCTATTTCTGCTTAGTTGAAGACTCCCATCCCTTTGGAAGAAATGATCAAATTATTTCTAAGGACCTTAGAGCCACCATTCTCTAAATTCATGAAGTATCGGGATTTCAAGGATTTCAAGAGCACAATCACTGTTGGTAAGAGACTAGAGCGTGACTTTCGTTCGTGAAGTAAATAAAGTACAAGCTACTTAACAAGTCAGGCCTTCGAGTTAGAAATGTCCTGCTTCTCCCTCCCAATTAGATAGACGGGTTAAGATAAAGTTTACTCCACTCTCGATGCCATTTTCTTAATTACTTCTTCAGTTGGTACTCCACTCTCATTCTCTCGAGGGTTCAGATCAAATGCTTTTTGTGATTATCATAAGATGCCAGGACATCCTATTGACCAGTGTGTTCCTCTCTGGCTTGCATTACAAAAACTTATCGACAGTTGTAAATAGCCTAAACTATACTCAATTTGATCCCTCATGAGGGGTACGTAGGTAACTTGAGCAGTGGTGTTGGGGTTTGACTTGGATAATAAAATAAAAATGTAAGTTTCATAATCATTTGAAATTTCATAATCTAATCTTTTAGGTCTAAGATTCTTCATACCTATTGAACAACCCTAGGTTGCCTCCCGGATAGGTCCTACCCCACCTTAGCCATGTCATTCATAGCATGTTTTCTTGGATTTCATTCACTCCACCAATGGTACACACACATACACAAGTTTCCCTTCATATTGTTTCATGCATTCGGTATCAATTCTTCGAGGCTCGATGCTCCTTAGAGTGAAAAATAAAAAAGGGGAATGTAAAAAGAAAAGACCCAATTGAGGTTAAGCTGAAGGTTCTGGACATACTACCAATGCCTCTAATGAAAATAATAGAAGTGACATAATTCTTGAATTACTCAATTTTTCTTAATAAGGGCTTCATTATGAAAGCATCTATTATTGTCTCTTATTTTCATCCATTTTGCATTTTTCATAATAAGTTTAGCTTCTTTGGTCTGGTGTCTTGTTCAGAAAAATGCCTACTCCTATTGATAACCAGTTCCTAACGCACCAAGAGTTTTGTGAGCTTAAGTAGATGGTAGTTGCCTTGGGTTCCAAGATGGACTGATTGTTATCTCAAACTGGGGCAAACCCATTTTACATACCCCCATATTGCATGCCCTTGTCCCTGTTGGCCCTCATGACATCTGCACCCGGTCCCATCATCTTCTGACCACCACCTCAACTAGTATACCCATCCTACCAACCACTAATTCACAAATGCTCATCTGGTACACTGGTTAAGGAACCTCTTATCATTTCGATCACATCGTAAATAACTCTGATCTATACATCATCTTCCCAACCAACATCACCCATTTTATCCCTTGCTCCAGCCCAAATGACTCAAAGTGGCCAACCATCTCGGAAAAAGGAGAAAAGGGTCCTCACCCACTTGCCATGCACTCATGCTGAACAGTTACCTTTCCTTATTTCAAAGGGATACCTCCGGCCATTGAAATGGAAACCACCCCTAGAACCAAAACCTAGAAATTATGATGAAAATGCTCATTGTGAATATCACTAGGGACCGGGGCACACAACCGATCATTAGTGGTGGCTGAAGTTTGCCATACAGTACCTCATTGATGAAGGCGTGTTTGATCCGACCAGGGAAGTTCCAGACATGGTAACACCAATGCCCCAAAAGCCGATCCATTAGAAGATATCTTCAGTTTTGTTTTGCTACATTAGGGCCTTCTTTTCAGTTATTCCTTTCTTTTTCGCTTTTACTCTCTAATTGTTTGCAAGTGAACTTGATCATTATACAACTCATATTAATGAAAGTTTTGACTTAGTTGGTTCATTTTAGTGTTTGGTCATTTTGCTTTGAATAAAGTAATAAGTTTTAATAAGGAGGAAAATCCCCAAACTTGGAAAGAGATAAAGCTACCACTTCCCTTGAAAGGAATGCATGAGTAGTTCTCAAGGGCATAACTTTGTGAAAAGTGATTATTAATTGAAGATCCATTGATAGAAATGTCTAAGGAGAGGGGGGTAATAATTTTAATTCAAAATAGAAATATCCATTCCCAGCCATATCCATAAATAAATGCATCATTGATAGCTCAAATTAGGGCAGTCATAAGGTTGAAGTCATTGCAATGGGGTATGCAATCCTTTTAATATGTTTTTTGAGTCAACATAGAATGCAGACGTCATATTAACCTAGTGAATTGCTAATTAATCAGGGAAAGGATTGGAGGCCATTGTTGGTCATTTTTGTTTGCCTCAAACCCCTCACCATTGTTAACACCGTTAGTTAGCCCCTTGAGCTAATGTCATTAGACCTTCTTCTTTGTTAAACCGATCAAATTCCTAGGATGCTTCTTTCCTAAGGGCTAGAAGAAGAAAGAAGAAAAAAGAAGGGAGAAAGAATCACTCTCATTTGAGTAATCTTAGAACATTAAAGTCATGAAGATGTCAAATGACATAACTACCCTTGAGTCAGTGGAACTCAAATTGTACTCGACATATATTTCTTTCCTATTAGTTATGCATTTGATGGATAAATGATGGGAAGCCCTCTTTTGGCTGATTGCTTTATCCCTTTTCATCAAACCCTCTTTATTATTCATTTTGCTAGTTATCCCTTTGAGCCTTTGTAGGAACCATTCCTTCAAATAAATCCTCATAGGAGGCGTATGTCATATGTTTAATTGTGTGTAAATCTCAACAAGTTTTTCTGGAAAGAAAAAAAAAAAGAAAATTTGGGGCAAGTGTTTAAAATTAAAATAAAAAATGAGAAAAGAAAAAAAGGATAGAAGGAGGCATCAAAGAAGATCTGAGTAACCAATTGCTACAAAGAATAAAGAGGAAAGCAAACAAGAAAAAATTAGGGCAGATGTGATGATCAAACCATTGAGAATTTGTTCCGTAATTACATCCGTTCTTGGATTTTGTTTTAGCCTTACCCATTTACATTTCATCCTATAATAAAGTCCTCTCTAATGGTTCTTGGCACATAGTATTTAAATACAAGAAGAGCACTTTGTTTCATTTATGATTGCGATGGTGTTTAATTGAAGAAAAATGAAAGCACAAAAGCATAATTTTTAATAAAGCCCTAAATATAGATTCAAGCATTTGAGAAATTGGTAAGTAGCACTAGACAAACCTATTGAGTTAGCAAGGAAGGAATTGATAAAAGGAGAAGTGAAAAAAACAACAAGAAAAAAGAAGAAGAAATTAAGCTCGGTGATCCTCTAAAACTGGGGGCAAAATGGTCCAAAAGAAGAACCTTCTCATTGAAGGCACCTTGCATCAAAAACATGCGATCAACCTAGTTGAGCAAATTTAGGTTCATCTCTCTTTTGAAACTTCCGGTCAGCACCCATTCTGATGAATCATAATCTTCTCTATGCAAAATTAAACAATAATTTCCTTTGTGAATTATCCTTCTTAATCGATCTAGACTAGAGCGACCTCCTTTTGATAGGTGTTTTTTGATGTGAATCTTTGATCAACTATCATTGCATATCCAATGTTTATGTCTTTAAGATTTGAAATATGTCGACTATTACTTTGCAAGGAAGAAATGGTTGATTTTAGCTCTTATTCAAATATGGGAAATTCCCAAATTCAACTATCTTTGAGTATCCTTTGCTTTAAATCATCTGAATATGGCATTTTGCATATCATCTCCATTGTATTAGGTTTTTAATCATACCTCATTTTGTTTAAGAGGAAAAATGCATTGTGTTTCCTCAATTGATTGATTAATTAAAAATTCCATTTGAAAGTCATTTCATTACATGGTGAATTGCATTTTCTAGTTAATCATACCATGCTTTTTAAAATCTTCCA